TTCAGTTCGTATTGAAAATAAAATTTAATAATTTACATTAATTACAACGATAAAAAAATATTTATTTAAACTGATAAAAGCAAAGCTTGTTCGAATCTTTATTTACATGCCAACTACTTTATTATAACCAAATACATATGAAGCAATATTCTTTTCTAATCTGATCTTCGGAAAGGAGAAGCTGACCTTTCTTAACCCTCTTTGCTCCTTAACCTTCTTGAAACCTACGTGTGAAACATTCACACGCTAAGTCGATGACTTAGTGAGACATATAACATAAAAGAGAACTCTAAATAATTAACAATGCATGAACACTTCATACTATGATATCACACAAGACCCAGGAATATTCATATAATCAACTGTTGACATACCCATATCTCGTCATTAACCTCATTTCATATCATCATATCATACAAAATCATGTACTATTTTATGTATCAAATACATACCGACAGATATCTCATCAAATCGATCATTCACCTTCTTATAATTATCAATATTATTATCCTTAATTCATTTTATCATCTAATTTTGTATATTAACATTTATACACATCAGATCATACATTTCACACAGCAAAACACATAATATCACACAAGGCTTCTTATTATATATATCTTTTATTTGCCCATGGTATATTTGTGAGAACTAAAGATATGTGAGTACATTGAGGTTGTGCACTAATGTTGTCACCACAGCTCGTATAAAATCCCACTAGGGGCATATAAAATTTGCTCCGAAGGACCATATATTTGTCCCGAAGGACCACATAGAACCCTCGACTCTTGGCATGCCAACTATACCCTAGCTCTCATAACACATAACATGGGAATTATCATTTATTCTCATCACATATTCACATAGTCACACAAATCATCACATAACTTATATCATCTCACATGTAGTCACATGGGTCATATCTCATAACATATATCACATGGTTCATGTAACATTTTTATGTGTTCACTTAGATCATTGTCTTATAACACATATCACATAACATGTAATGCTAGCAAGATGTATTAATACATGCATGTAATCACATAAATTATATCATATAACTTATTATTTGTTCTCTTAGGATCACCTTTCAACTCATATAATTCAGGCAGTGACTCTTATACATATTTTAATATAACATGTATAGCAATATAATATAACTTATCCTACCGATTCTCATAATCATCTATATCGTATAAAGTTTATAATAGTTTCATATTTTCACTTAATTCATCTTCACATATGTTGTTATCTAAACATGTATTCACATATGATTTCCTATATAATTACCATACAACTAATATTATATGTTAGTATAATAACTTATGCCAGTACTTCCTAACTTATATCAGATTCTTATTTATTATCATATATATTAATGATATTTAACTTATCTCAGCCTTCATATCACTACATAAGTCCATTATATTGGTTTGCATAAATCTAGTTCATACAACTTATACCATATAGTTCCCTTAACTTAGAACATTTTATAGGGTTCATGCTCACATGTAATATATTCACATAAATACTTAGGTCAATAACACATAGCTATATAAATTCCTATTACATGGTTTACATATTTTTCTTATCTCTTCTCATAAACATATAAACACATAGATCCTCATTACCTAACTTATATGACATGTCCATATAATCATTGATATTTATACCACTTTCTCTTGCTATTACTTAAATCATTGTTATCTACATAGTTCATGATCATGTAATTTATCTCATAATTCATTATCATATAGTTTATATTTTGTTCTCTTATAATCATATATAACATGTAGCATATCGATCATGCATCTCATACAAGAACATGTTAACACACATACTTAGGCACACATACAAATCATAACAAATACATGCTTGTATTCATGAATTCATATACTTTAATATGGAAATAGACTCATCGCAAGTCTTATTTCCATAAAACTTCATATCCCTAATAGTACACACTCACCTGGCCTCACTAGTCCATCTTCGATCTCTTATCTCTTTCTCGATGACTATTACTTGGCCGACTTGTCCGGACTTTGCTCTCGATCGTATCTACACGAATACATAGTCCAATAAATATCGGAATTCGAATTACTTGCAAAGATTCTTACTATTGTAAGCTAATCAAAACACTGATTTCTAAATTCCAACTTAAGTAGTATCGGTACTACAAGAACAGTACTGATACCTCTATGCTTGTAGTATCGATACCCTTACACGGTATCGATACCCAATTTCGATTCGATGATCCTTATTTTCGAAATAGTACCGATACTTGCTATATGGTATTGATACCCCAGAATCGATACTGCTCCTTTGGTATCGATACTCTCTGAACAATTTATAAATTTTTGCCTTATGGTATCAATACTCATTCAACCAGTATCGATACACATGCTTCAATTAACACTCATTTCCTCTTTGAAGTATTGGTACTCGATGAACAGTACTGATACCCCCTGCCCAGAATTCATTTATTTTACCCGAAAATCTTACCAAACTTTCTTAATTCGTCTATCGTAACCTCCTTTTAGTCCTTTAAGCTCAACTACACTTATTCTAACCAACTTAGGTCACTTTAACTCATCATAATATCCAATATCCCACATACATACTTGAATTCAATAATCAAGCCAATAAATCAACATGTTCTAAATTCGTTTCTAACACTTTGAATTTCTTATTTCAATTTATGACAAGTCAAATTCAACTTCAAAATCCATTTGATCTTTCTTTCTCAACAATTCACTTAAAAACCTATTTTACTTAATCTCTTATAACTTGTCCATCTTTTAGTTTTTACTTATCTTAAAGTTTCTTAAGCTTTCTTAATACCCAAAGAATCAAAATCAACCTTAAAATGAAAAGAATAACCACTAAAAAGTATACTCACCTTATGCAAAAACCCACGGTGGAGAGGAACAAGAAAACTGAAGAAGACTCTGGATAAACTTTCTCCCATTTCCCACGTACTATATATCACTTAAAAGAGGGAAGATAAAAATCTTTCCTTTGAAAAGACCATAATAACCTTCCAATCCTCCAACTTTGATAACAAGTCCTAAACAAAATTTCCAAAATAAATCCTTGAACTTTTCAAGTTATTCAAATTAAACCATTGAACTTTAAATTCTTATAATTTGGTTACTAGCCCTATTTTAGGGATGTTACAGAGTGATTATGATTATGACTATGATATGGTAAATTTGTGTACAATTTGTGTAGCACTGTTGATGCAAATGATATGAATGCACTTGGAGTGCATATTGATTACGATATTAACACTGAAGTGCTTATTGCACACTCTCGTCTGACTCACGTACCTTACATTCTCTTAGATATACATTGGACTATAAAAGTAAACGTGAAAGTTATTACAAGTATATGAAAGAAAAGAATATGGAAAGGAAATGAAATGAAAGTTCTAAAATATGTATGAATGAAAAGAATAAGAATTATTTTTTATATTTAATGTTGACTTACATGATTTTTGATAAAATCATGAGATAATGATTTTCAGGTTTTCAAGAGGAAAACGACTTAAATAGCTCGGTTTGAAAGTTTTGATGTTTTTGTTTAAATTACAATTTTATGTTTATATTACATTGCAATATTAATGTTTTTTTCTCACCTTAACTATGTTACTGTCTCACTAAGTTTTACCTAGTGTGTGATGATTTTTATGCGTAGGTTCAAATAGAGAAAGGAACATGAACTGAGGAGCCTCTTAAGCCTTTTTTTCAGAAAATCATACCTAATATCATTATCAATAAGATATCTTACCTTTGGCTTATTAGTGGCATGTATATTATTTGTATGCTACTTTATCAAAATTGTTTTTAAATGGTCTATAATAGTAAATTAGGACCATTTAATTTTATTAGTCTAGTTATATTTGTATTTATAATTGAATAGTATATATATAGGTATGTTTATGTTTTTAAAATGACTTTCTAATTAAGAAGTATTTAGGCGAGTTTTTAAATAGTTTATGAATATAGCATTAAACTGCCTAATTATTGTCTAAAATTGAATTCGTTTTGAGTGTTTAAATATTATTTTATGATTTTATACTATTGATGAAATGGTTTAAAGTTGAAAAAGGAAAGTTTTTGAAATGAAACAAATTTTTAAGTATCTATGATCAATGAATATCTGTAAAGTTGATGTAACATCTTTAATTCATATTTTGAAATGTATACGAGTTATGAGTGTTACACCTTAACATAATATGTTTGTCCTAATTTGTAATGTACCTTATCATATTATATTATATACACACACCGATATATATGATATTTTGGGTACAATCATCGCTATCTAATTTATTAATCAATTAATCTAGATCGGGTACTGCAGAGGTGATAGTGACTCCCAACTCTGTTTGTTTCGTTCGCAAATACTAAAATTCAAACTTCTAATCTTACCTAAAAGATTTAGTGTCTCATCCCATTAGATCAACAAGTTATCGATACACACAATATATATGATTATCACATAAAATTTTGTATCTTATATATAAGATAAAATCTCTTTATACCATACAATGTTGATTAAATTTATCGAAGCGCATAATCATTAAATTGATTTATATGTATTGCATTAATATTTTTATCAATTTTTTAAAAATAATTTTATTTTAATCTTAATAATTGGTTTAAATTGATTATATGAATATATCTTGGAATAAAATTAAGGGTAAAGTATAGTAATGGTCACTAAACTTTTCTAAAGCTTTCATTTAGGTCTCTCAACTTTTAAAACTTGCAATATAGTCCCCCAACATTTAGTCCATTTGTAATATGATCCTCGATGTAACTGTTGGGAGACCATATTGCAAACAGACTAAATGTTGGGGGACTATATTGTAAGTTTTAAAAGTTTGAGGATCTTAATGAAATCTTTAGAAAAGTTCAATGACCATTACTATACTTTACTCTTTGTTTATTTCAGTAGTCGTTCTTTACGGAGCTCTTAGGTTTTGAGCGAAGATGAATCCCTGCAATCTTCAACGGAACGCTGCCGTTTCTGCTTGTGAGGAGATTAGAGGGTTGATCTCAACCTCTGATGGCGGCCCTGTGGTTTTCCCTAAGCCCAGACTTAATAGGGTTCTTGCCAACAATCCCGTCATGCCCTTGAGATTGCATATGAGGTATAATTTCTTTTATTTCTACTCTCTTTATTTGGTTTTCTGGTTTGATTTTTAGGGTTTATGATTCAGTTGAGTTATGTGTTATTGATTGCAGTCATCAAGCTGAGGTAAATGATTTAAAAGCTGGTGCAGAGCTTCTAGATATCATCCTCAAGAAGGTACTTTGGATTCTGAAAGATGAATAATTTATTTATTTTTGTTTTGATTTTAAATATCGAGTCTGATATTGTTCGGTAAACACGTGATGGATGCATATTTATGTTTGAGCATGAGCAATATTGGTTTACAATCTTTGTTTTGCAGCAGGATATGGAGACGGAACAATCTGCGCCAGAGGTAGCATCATCACCCCCGTTTTTATGTGGTTCACCTCCAAGTAGGGCTGAGAACCAATGCACGATGCTCGATTTGGTGATGAAAAACTTGCATCATTGCAAGTTCCATCGTCATCGGCACACAAAGTAGGGTGTGTTAGGATGAAATTTGGCCTTAAACAGCCCACAGTTAGAGTAGAAGGATTCGATTGCCTTAAAAGGGATCGCCAGAATTCCAGCATCCTGCTATGGCCAGGGTCGGTCCTGACATTTTAAGGGCCCTAGGCAAAATAAGAAATAAGAACCCTTAAAAAATAACTTAAAATTCAAAAATAAATTTCGGTAAACGTCAAACAAATTTTTTCATTAAAAATTATACGAGTAAATTCTATTACATTAACCAACATTATTTTATCAAATATATAAAGATAAATCACAATTTTTCACTCAATTTACTCCTATTGTGTCTTCAGTCATCTCTTAGAATCGTTTCTCTCAATCGAAAATTGACGCCTCTAACCTACAAAATAACATACACAAATTCTCATAAGAAACGGTTTCTTCTAACATTTTGAGATGCAAAGCCATTGATAATAACATCAACATCAATGTTTCCTATCATCTCCTTCTCAATAGCTAACGTTGCTAAATCATTCAACCTTTCTTGTGACATTGATGACCTCAAGTACGTTTTTATTAATTTAAACTTTGACCTCAAGCATTTAGAGAACCCTTGATCATATTCTCATACCCTTATCCGAATAACTGTAGGACATTATGCTTCAAGAATACGGAAGACAAAACAACGTAAGCTAAAAGGAAAAAAAAGAAAGAAAAACTGTTGGGAATAATAAGGTTTAGGTGTGAATGAAATTTACTTGGGACAGACATAAAAGCAGCACAAAACAAAAAGGGGCGCAAATCAATTAGGGGGAGTAATTACTCAGCCAACAAAGCTAAAAAGAAATCAATGTTAGGTATCAAATAAAGGGAAATAAAGCTAAGAACTAAAGAAGTAACTTTTGAGAAATTATCAAGAAACTATTCACCAGGTGAATTCGGGGGAAAATTGAAAGCCGCTTTCATGATGAAAAAGTATTTAAAATTATGCTTTTAGGCTTCCTTTTTAAATCTCTTTGATGACATTATTTGCTATAGAAAGGTTACAAATAGGCAAAATATGAGGCCATCAAGCAAATCAGATTTTTCCTTTGTCACAAGGAGGAAAAATAAAGGTAAAAGTGACCCTGAAAGGGATTTTATGCACTAACCATGGAAAATTCCAAAGCTCAACTAGTTTAGGTCAATAAACCAACTTGATCATCATTAAATATTAATATGACTCGAATAATTCGACCACACTGCAAGGAAAAAGTTGTGCTAGCCAGATAAATGAGAGAAGAATTTTAAAGAACAAAGTCGATGCAATTGCATCAGCAGCATATAAAAACGAAGACTTGAACAATCATTCATACCGAAAATACAACAAACATCAGGAAGTAACATTTGAGAAATTTCAGAGAGTTCACCCCTATCGCTTTCAAAGGGAAAATGCATTAAGATGCTCAAAACAGATAAATTTTCATCCTGCAACTGATAGACATAGAATTCTAAATCCGATACCATGGTACAGATCTTGATCATTCAACTAGAAATATCAGCATCATTGGCCTCAACAACTGAAATATTATAGTATTGTTAGTATCAATGATAAATACATACCAATCATGGTCTCCTAGTTAGCTTCCTTTTGCATTATATTTTCTCAAATAAATACAAAACCCATTACCAAAAACTATATAACCTTTTCTTTCCAACCCAAGCTATTTTCTAAGGAACCAGACAGAAACTACAACCATCACTTCTCAAATTTACATTAGAATTTAGAAGCCAAACAATAGAAATCCCTACTAGCCTCAAAAGTTCATCTTTCCTTGTTTTCTCCAGCAACAAATAAGACAGGCCTAAAAGGTCCAAAACACCCCAAACACATAATACTAACAAAATAGAAACCCATTTTTTAAATCTCCTTCACCCCTCCTCCCCCACGATTTATAATTAAACAGACAACTTGCTGTAAGAAAAACAAAAACATATCCTCGTTTATCACTAGAAAAAAAAACATGGTTCAGACATCTTAAAGAACATTAAGAAAAAAGAGAAGCAAACCTTGGATGATTTGCTTGAACTTCTAGACAAACTTCTAGGAAACCTCAAACCATAAGCAGAAGGAGACGAAGTCATTGGCCTAGAAGCTGCCATATTAGTCGAGTTTGAAGGAGATAACCAAGCAGCATCAGGCAACCTTTCACTGGAAGGAAGTGAACGATAATCACCATCATCTGAAGTTCTAGGTAAATAAGTACACAGATTCCAGCCCAAATCCATCTTCGCTTTTCTCCATTTGCTACCCATTTTGACTCAAAATAAAGTGTTCTGAACTTAAAAACAAAAATCCAAAGCTAAAAAAATGGATCTTGAAGCTGATTCTTATGTCAAGAATAGTCCCCTTCAAACCTGGGCCCTAGGTGGTCGCACTCCTCGCCTAGGCTCAAGCCCTGGCTATGGCTTAGAAACTTAAATTTAAATCAAAAGTGTAAATAGAAGGAAAGCTAGATGCCACCACCATCCATTGATTCAGAAGCCGAAGCAAGATTAACAAGGGAGGAGTTTTGGGTAATTTTGAGAAAAAGTGAGAATGAATATATAAGTTTCTGTCTAGTAGTGTGTGTGTATATATATATATATATATTTGAACATGATGTGTTGTTTGCTGCTATTGGATTACTAAATTTACTGCTTGGAAGGGGAGACGAAGGGGAGACAAGCCGGGGAGCAGACATTGGTTGTGAATCAAATGCTATGGGATTTAGCAAAATCCTTTTTTGTTGTTGTAATATATGGATTTGGGCTTTTCATTATTTTGGAGATCACCATGGAAAAACAAGGAGGAAAAAGTGTATAGATCCGGTAGGTGGTCTAGTCTGAATTTTGTTGCACTACTATTATTCTGTAAATGTATTTTGGGAATTGTTCAATGTGAATGTTATTTATCTTTTTCGAGCATTATCTGATGCTTGCTTTGGGGCAATATGAGCTCCCCCTGATGAATGGCGGCCATGCCGATTGTCCTAAAAAGTTAAAATGTTGTATTTGGACCATAATGCGGCTTTGAATATTCTTCTAATATTGTATTTATTATATTTATATTGGAACTTTTATACATTCATTTACATGAAAACTCACACACACGAATAATACATTATTAGGTCTACACTAACATCTTAATTACTAATTAAAATTAGGGTAAAGTATAGTAATGGTCACTGAATTTTTTTAAAGTTTTCATTTAGGTCCTTCAACTTTTAAAACTTGCAATACAGTCCCCCAACATTTATTTCATTTGCAATATGGTCCCTCAACATTTAGTCCATTTATAATATGGTCCCTGACGTAACTGTTGGTGGACCATATTGCAAACAGATTAAATGTTGAGGGACTGTATTGCAAATTTTAAAAGTTGAGAGACTTAAATGAAAGTTTTAGAAAAGTTCAGTGACCATTACTATACTTTACCCTAAAATTAATGAATTTGTGTATGTATCCTACCCTATATGTATAAATAAAAAAGGGGTAAATGGTAGAAAAATAAGAGGCAGCAAATGGATGCTGGGTATCTAAGAATCTAATAAGTCATTTAACAGCGGCGGAGGAGGAGGGGTTTTGTCCGCCTCTCTCTCTCCATCTCTCATTCTATTTACTCACTCCTCCCCTTCTTTTTTTCTTTCTAATTTCTTCCGTTTTTCGTATCTGATAATCTCCGAACCACACACCCCACCGCTGGAGAGGCTTTTCTCTCTATCTCTTATTTCTATTACTCAGGTTCCTCTTCTTTTTACTCATCAAACTCTTCCTTTTCTATGCTTATTTTGCTTCTTATCTGATTTCTCTTTTCATCGTGATTCTTCCTTTCTCTCTGGTAAGAATTATTGGAATATATTATCGAATTGGGTTTTTCTTTTCCTAGGCTTGGCCTTTGCCCCTTCGATCTCTCATATTTCGCTGGGATTAAATTGATACGAACAAGGTTTTTTAGGGTTTTCTACGGATGGAACACCTATACCCGTTTTTTTCTTTTGATGCTCATCTGCGCTAGATTTGCTCTTCTCCGTGTATGTTGCTCCTTTAATGATTTTTCTCTGTTCCTCTCTTTTGGTACTGAATCCTTTATATATTTTTTTGTGAAGGGTTACTGTTGCTTTGGCCATTCTCCCTTTTATTTCTAATGGTTTTTTTAGTGTTTTGGGAATTGATGTTTGATCTTTGAATGGACCTGGTAATTGGGCTTGCTTTAGCCACCGGATTAAGGGACTGGATACTACAAAGCTATTATTGTTATTAAATACGAAATTTCAATTTGTTTTGCTGCAAGAGGTATGCATCTAGGTTTTTGAGGATACATTTTCTCTTCAACTTTTTCTGAAAGTTTGGTGCCTTTTTAAAGATGGATCCTTTCTTTTGTCTTGAGGGTTGAGACTTAAGTGTTAGCTTTATTTGTGACTCTTCTTTGGGTTCTGAACGGATAGTGCATCTAATGGAAAAGGGGAGTGAAAATATGCACTTAGAGGATCCTTGGTTTACTGGAATGGATACGGAGGAAAGTGAAATGGGACAACGGAACAGTGAAATTCAAGGCTTTCGATTGGAAAAGGCGAGGCAAGTAATGTGGTTTTCTCTACTGAGGCGCCCCTTGTAAGTAAAGAGTCGTCCACGTCTGGTAGTTGTAATTGTAGTCCGAAGAAAATCAAATCTAGGGTAGCTGCAAAAGACACTGAGTTCAGCCAGAAGGACAAATCGGTGCATGACAAGAAAGTCAGCAGACAATACAGGATTGAGTTGGGCCAATTATTTCAGGGAGCCGTGAGTTCCCATGATTGGGAGCATGCTGAGAGTTTAATCTTGTCGGCAGATCCACAGACTCTAAATGATGCATTGTGTGTCACCTTGGATGCAATCTGGTTTTTGAGCACCCAGCAGGAGCTTTATGGGATCACTGAGTTGATTAAGAAGATCATTGCAAATGGTGCTTATGACTTCACTAGAGCCGCTCTCAGGACTTCATTTCTTGCTTCTTGTGTCTCAGCTTGCCAGAGTCGCACGATGAGTCTTTCTGACACTGTAACTGTGATGGCTCAGAGGTAAACAAGCTGTTCTTTTGACTTGTAGATGGATAATAATTGCTTCTGTATCTTGAAAAGCATTTCTATGTGGTGAATACAAGTCTAGTTTTTCAAAAGCACGGATTGCGATTCTATACTCCTCTAATAGCATCTTATAACTATCTGCAACTTTGAACTTCAACTAACACAAATGGTTTTGAATTAGTTATTTAGTTATTTGGATTTGGAACATTTATGTGTGGCTCGTAGCAAGTCAAAACACACTTAATGGATGCCTAAAGAAAGATACGTATAATGTCCTCAGTCTATTTTATTTCATTGGTTTCACAATTGCTGGAAAGAAATAAACTTGGTAAAAGTTATTGCTTGAACGGTTTTGTCATGTCATATGAAACACTGTGTGTCTTCTGTAAAGAAACATGGGATAAAAATGGAGTTTACCATTGTTTTTTTTTCATTTTTGTAGAAGACCTCGCCTAACTGGTTTTTATCGTGTATGTGTCATTTTTTCGTTTTGGTTTATTAGGTTGCATGAGCGCCTCCAAGAATGCCATGGGGATGAGATCTTGAAGGCAGAAGCTGGTGCCAAGGTCCAAAAGTTCACTGAATGGGCTTTGAAATGTATAGGTTCCCATTCTCGTTGTCAGGGGAACAATGATAGAGTGAATCATTGCTCGGCCATTGAAATCCAACTCCAGTTAACTGCGTTTAAGACATTCCTAGATCTTTCTGGCAACCAACTTACAGGAAAGGATTTTACAGAAGCATTTGATGCAGCTTGTTTTCCTCTTACTCTCTTCTCTAGTTCATTTGATGCTGGTTGGGCTTCTGGGATCTCAGCCACAGTGATCCAAGGATTGTTGGATATGTTGGTGGAGGGGGGTGCAGACAATGTTAACCAGTGTTTCCTTGAAGCCTCTCGGTTTGGTAGTACAGAACTTGTCCGCATTTTATTGCAGGTGTGTATAATTTCTTTGGAATGGGATTTTTATTTTTGCTCATTTATTTCTGTTTATGTTCACGTAGCATTTTTTTTGAGTAACAAGATTTTCTTTTGTGCAAAGGAATGAGTTGACTAATCTTCAAATTAATTGGTCAAAGGAAGTGTGTACAACTGTTTGGCTATGACAAAAATCGTTTAATGCTGCAATAATTTTTAGGGTAATAACATCAATCAGTTGGGTTCATCCTGCCGACATGCTTCCCGTATTTTTAATATTATAACAAGAAGATGTCATCTTCTTATGTGGTCTTAAGTATTTTATGTGATGTTATTAAGCATTTTTTATAGAACTGCAAGTGGAGTTCAAAATTTAAATGATAAATGTCTGTGTGTCTCTGTATGTGCATGTGTGAATTCTGTAACTACTTCTTAGTTCTGTTAGTGGCATATCTAAATGTTCTATCTTTTAGAAGAGAGATGAAATAATATCGGACATCGGGTGCAAAAGTATAACTGAAAAAACATTTTTTCCTTTTCTTGAAAGAAGGGGGGAGTATGTGGGGAAAGGCTCCTTCTAGTTGAACCTGTCACTAATTTGAATCATGATTTGTTTTAATGAAGTAAGGTGAAAAACAGTAGTGCTACTGTGTGCATGATGCACACATAGCACTAATATCATAGGAAATTTTCAGTTTAGCCTTTGAAGTGAACAAAATCTCATTCTACTTGGTGATTGTTTCTCACGGTTTATCGTGTGGACAGTACAAGTTTCTTTGTTGTTTTTGAACAAAATATCATTCTATGCACTTTAGATATGGTTAGCTGTAGTCATGGAATTATTCAGGGTTCTTGCATGTAAACTAATTTCAATTTGGAGATATCAGGGGTAATGAAGTGGTAGTTTAAATCCCCTACTACATAAGCAGAAATTTTGCAGAGTAAATATAGTCTGAACTAGTCATTGCATTCCATTTTATTCTTATACTGTGTAAGATTACTCTTCTCTCTCTCCCTCAAACGTGGTGAGGGAATCCCAAGTATTTAGATTTAAAAAACATGTAAGTGAATGGAAATGATCCGGTGGGAGAATGTTGGCTTTTTCATGTTTAGACATAAGTGAGCCTAACAGATCCCATGGAAAACACAGATTGAGGAACCGAAGCTAGAATCACTCCCTAATTTGATTTTTACTTTTTCTTGTAACCATGGAAAGTCGGGTGTGCTTTCACTTTTTTGGCTATAAGAGAAGGGCTTTATTCTTTTTTCCCCTCTTCTTTTATAAGAGAAAAATATGATTGTTGTTTGTTTGTTATTATTATTACTGGACTGTATACTGACATTTCCTTGATTGTCCTTGTTGGGTCATGTGGTATTTTTCTGGTCTAGATTGCCCAACGGAACAGCTTGGATGTTGATGTTGATCTTGCCTTGGGTTTTGCCTCACATTACTGCAAGATTGGAACGATGGAGTGTCTAGTAGAAGAAGGTAATGCCATGGCGTTTTTGGGCCCTCTAATGAGAGCAGCTGAAAGAGGCTGCATGCAGGTTGTCCAGTGGTTTGTTAAAAGAGGTTGTCGAGACATGGAGCTCTGTCTGGCCCTCACTGCTGCTACTTCCAGCAGCCAAGTTAATGTGGCTGCATTTCTCCTCCCCCACGTTCCTAAGCATGTCCTAACGGCTCTAAGCATCGAAATTCTCAAGGCTGCGGGTGAACGAAGTGGCGGATCTCTTGATGGTGTTGCATTTCTCCTCCAATCCGACTTCTTAGGTGATCCTGCTGCTACTTATGCTGTTGCAGAAAGCATTGCCAAGTCCGATGACGAGGCTGTCGCTCCTGATCTGAGGGCATTTGTCCGAGAGCATTGGTCAGAAGAAGCTTTCTTGGATGGATTAAAGCAAGGGCAAGAACATTACATGAATCTAATGAGGATTTTGAAGATGGGGGAGTCTCCGATTTGCTTAAGGGATCTACCAGCCCCGTTGAGGGTGGGAATCGCATACATGCAGCTGTACAGGGAATGTAATGAGGTGGGTGGTCGTCTGTTATCACAAAGGCTGAGGGGGCAGCTTGTTGAAGCTGTTCGAATGCTCGAAGGTGGGGCATCAGTAGAGGTTAATCAAGGCAGGGAGGTTTTAGCTATTTTAGAGCATCGTCTTCCTCCATTTTTGATCCGTGCTCCCAGTGTTGGTTAGCAACCACTTATCTGCTAGATTCTCTCTTCTCCTTTACCCCTATAGTGAGTCTACCATGTGCCATATTTAGCAGTTGGTACATCATAAAGCTTCTCAGTTTGCAAATTTCCTGTGATTTGGTTCAAGTTCTTCTTTGGCACCCATATCATAATCTAGTGGATATGTTGTTCATCTATATAGTGTAAGCCAACAACTATTTTGTCAAAGGGCTGATATATACATACATACATATATATATTCTATGATCGGATTGCACTATTATTACTATATAATCCTTCTATCTCAATTAAAAACGTTAACCATAAGAATTTGAGTCATTCGAAATGTACAAAATGTTGTATACATATACATTTAAAAATGTGTGTAACAAATGCTAAGAGCAGGCAATGAGCAACTATTATTAATAGCATGCCACGTTGCAGGTGTAACTATGCGAGAGATGCAACAAACCAGTGTTCATTCAAATTTCTAAATATTATTGCAGGTATAACAAAATTTTGTATGATGTAAGGGATGGCATTTACAATGTTAAATCCCTTAAGTTAGATGGCATGAAAGCCAACAAGAGGAGGACGGTTAAAATGGCAATGGGAAGCAGTAAGAGGATGAAAGGTGGGGGAGGCAACGGCGGAAGCACCAATGGGAGGATGAGCAAGGATGCCGTTAGACATATAAGCAGAAGCAGTGATTCCAAGCCAAAATTACAGGCAAATCCTCGTCGTGAGCGATCATATTCACCGTTTTTTCTCTCTACAGCCGACACCGGAACTTTCCCGGCAGCTCTCATATTCATTAGTATGGGTTTTGCAGAATAATCCCACTTTCAGGAAATCCCCCAAAGTCTTTCTAATTCGGCTGGATTCCAGCCCACAATATGGTAAGAAGTAAAATTCCCCCTGTTGAAATAGAATGATGCAGTTAAATTAGAATCCGAGATGCGAGCATGTTCAGGCAATCGTTTAGTCTTCAACCAAGGGAATTGGAGCTCAGTGACAGGCTACGATATTAGCCGAGGCTATGCAATGAGCTGTTCTTTCAAACCACAGCAAATTGCAGCAGCAACAACCCAACTTGTTTAAATAAAGATGCACTTCAAGCGAACTACAAACAACTCTGGCATTGGGGTAGCCTAATCTGGAAGGGAGAAAAAAAAGAAATGAGATGCACAGAAAAAACAGCCATTCGGAAATAAGATGCAAGTAGTTAGAGAAACAAGAACAACAAAGGAGCTAATTTAGTTTCATTCATCTACCTACATAAAAAGCAGAAAACACACACATGCCGGTAAGAATTACAAGAGATTTGCAGAAACAGAGAGGATCGACCATCAAAATTGAGGTCAATAACAATGATATATAAGCAAAGGCCAAAGAGAGAAGATGGTTGGGTTCAGTGAACGGATGGGATGAGAGAGAAGATGCTTCTTACAAGTTGTGTCTTCCAAGGTTCTTCACCCCTGCCCTTGTTTTTTTTTTATGTTCTCTAATTTATTACTCTTTCTTTTTGCCCCCTAGATTTTATTTAGACTACATTCCTTTCACGGCAAAATTCGTTTGAAGAAAATGATTTATACGAGACATTTCTTTTTGCCCCCTATATTTCACCTTATTAAAAAATAATAATTTTCTCAATACCTTTCAAAAACATTTTTTTAATAAATTTTTATTTCAATATATTTAAAACTTAATTATAATTCATTTATATTAATTTTTTGCTTATATGTTTTAATCATTTCATATTTCGTTAAAACCTTATAAATAGGGGTAAGTCATTTAAAAAAAAACTAATTTAAATTCATCTTAAGGTTAATATATAATTAAATTTAAGTTCTTAATTTTACTTGAAATAAAATTTAATTTACTTAAAATTTAATTTTATAGTATTTTTAATATAATCTTAATCTTTTTATTATAGTTTTATTTAAAAATTCTTAGTAAATATATCTTTGAAGAGGTTTATGTGATTTTGATTTCTTAATTAAACATTCTATACTACACCGTCCATATTAATTAAGCAACACGCAATTGCTTATATAGTTAAATTGAATATATCAAAATCAGTGTGGATGTTTAAAATTGAAACGTGTGCGTAATTATCTGTTCAATAAATTCTGAACCTAATTTTGAGTTTGTTTACATCATTTGATTTGGCATGGTATTCGAAGAATGTTACAAGGTTCGATCGCATTAGTTTTAATAAATGGGATAATGATATCTTATTAAAGAATGTTCTTTTTGAACAAAAAAAGAAAGAATGTTCTTAATATTTTTTTTACGTAAGTAGTGTGATTCCTAATATAATAAGTTCATTGATATGATATTTGATAAGGTTTAATATGTTTTTTTTATATAACCTTTCAAAAATTATATCTTAATAAGTAGATATTTGGAAAGGTTTATGCGTTTTTATTTCTTAATTAAATAACCTTCCATAACCTTACAATATTTGTTTTCTGATTGACTTATTGGTGGACATGTATTGTCAGATCCCCTCTTTTGTAAATGGTTATTTGCCGATATAATTAGAATTGTATAGTGAAGCATTCTGACAAATTGTTTGGTTCGTTCGCCACTCCTTTATGACATCGTAAAGTGTCTTGTTTGACAGAGACAATGAGTTTTATGAAGGTTACTAGATTTGTCATAACCGTCCTTCGGGTGGGCCGAGAATCGGGCTTCGAATTAATTTTGATGGGTTAGAGCCGTCACGATCATTTTTTTTAAAATAGGTTGACCGAATACCTTAATTTATCATCTTACCTGATCTGCGTTTTACTAGAAATATATCGGATTCGGGAGTCGATTACAGTCAAGGAATGATTAACACCCTTGTACTGCCCTTTCGACCAATTTATTTTCTCGGTTGTCTTAATTACGAAAATTAAAAGTTAAATTGAAATTTAAAATTTGATTCAAATTCCTTACCTCCGATAGATTACAAATTTCCCCTAAAAAGTAAAAAAATGTTAGATTGTAAAATAAAATAAATAGATAAATATTAAGTAAATCAAAGAGAATAACAAAAAAGGGTTAAATTAAGAAAAAAAGAAAAAAAGTTAAAAAATGCTAAAGGAGAAAAATAAAATAAATACATTTAAGAAAATTTTAAGTTTAAAAAGAAAAAAAGAAAAAATAAAAAGGAATAAAATGTTCAAATTAAAAAGAATAAAAAAATGTTAAGATTAATAAATAAAAAGAATGAAGAACATGTTAAAAAATAAATAAAAATAAATAAATAGATAAAAAAAGTAAAGGATCAAATTGAAATAAATTGAAATTCGTGGATCGGATTAAAACTAAAAAATGAGTTGTAAGAAAAAAATAAAAAAGTTAGGGGACTAAATTGTAAATTGTAATAAATATAATAAATGATTAAATTGAAATAATTCAAAATTAGAGGGTAAATTTGTAATTGGTGACCAAAATGAATTACACTTCAAACCTTGAGGTACTGCAGAAATAATTTAAGAATTTACTAATTGCACATAGGTCCCTCGTTATAAATACCCAAAAAAAAAAATTTAAAACCAAAACTAAAAAAAAACTATCAAAACACTCTCCCCTCTCTTCAAGCCTCCCAACCGGCCAATTGTAACATCCCAAATTACGAGTTAGTGACTAAATTATAAAATTTCAGAATTTGATTAAAGTAGAATATTTGAATAGTTCAATGATTTATTTGAGAATATTTTCGGAAAGTTGTTAGTAATTATCCAAAGAATTAAATGGCAAAATGGTCATTTGATAGGAAATATATTTTTTTCCTTAATAAATATAATTCACGTGGGGTGGGGGAAGAGTTATCTTAAAACTCTTTCTTCTTCTTCCTCCCTTATCTCTCAGGCTCAAAAGTAAGTTTCTGATTTCTTGGTTATTTGTTGATTTTATAGTTGGGTTTTGATCATTAGATGATAACTAACCTCAAGGAAAGCTTAAGTTATCTTAAAATCAAAAGATAAAGGAGTTATGACAGGTTAAAGAAAATGGGTTTTGAAGTGAAATTTTGAATAGGAAGGTTTAAATGAATTTGGAGGATGAATTTGACTTGTCATCTACGAGAATAAGAAGTTAGAAGTGTTAGAATTAAGTTTGGATAACATGGAAAATTTGGTATGATTGTTGATTTCTATATGGAGAATAGAATTTTGAGGTTCAAGATGAAATAAATGGATATAAATTAGTTTAAGTATGTATATCTGAGTTAAGAATATGAAAGGGAATGAAACATGAAGAATTTAAGTTGATATAGTGAATTTTCGTGCATGAACAATGATTTTCTGGGCTTGAACGAAAATTCTAGATTACGCAAGAGGTATCGATTCCCCCCTAATGGAAAAATTGGAATTTTGGTTCATTAAACGGCTTAAGTTATTAACATCAAATTTAAGGTTTATGCTTATGATAATTGTTTTGAAATGTTATATTTATGTAGATATTGAGCCTAAACAAGTTTCGGAAGAATCAAAGAATTAGGATCGAATCAAAGCAAGGCTAAGGTGAGTGCAATTTAATTGTACTTAAGTTATCGATCAAACATTGGCTTGCGATAAGCCAGTGATAGAGTTATTATGGTAAGGAGTAATTTATAAAATGTATGTGATCTTTATATGTGTATGAGTACATGAAAATGTCTATAGGTGTCATATGTTATTATATGCGATATGTGATATTGAATTACATGAATATATAAAAAATATGATATCAACTACGTGATATGCATGATATGTTATCTTATGTGCTATGTAAGGTATATATGAATATATGTAAACAATATATGACATATGTATATGAACAAAGGAGAAATTCTATAAGCCATATGAAACAAGCTATGTGATTCTATGCAAAGTGATATGAAATACGTGGCATATAAATATGCAACCCATGATACATGTTATATGATATGAACCTATGTGATTACATGAGAAAAAAATATATGTTTATGAGAAGATATAAGAACAAGATATAAGCTATGTAGCATGTGAATATGATTCATATGAAAATGTTCTACGTGTAAGTGAATTATGTGTTAATGCGAATATGTGATAATTATAAAAGATAATGCCCATGTTATGTGTCATGAGATCTAGAGGTATAGTTGGCATGCCAAGAGTCGAGGGTCTACGCGGTCCTTCGGGACAATTCTAAGTGGTCCTTCGGGACATATATGTATTCTTTGGAATATGTATGATGTCTTTTGAGACACCTACTTGATCCTTGGTATATGTGTATGATTCTTAAGGAATTTATATGTGGTCCTTATGGACAATCTTATATGGCACTACGGTGCATTTCTACGCAGTCCTTCGGGACAAATTCTACGTGGCACTTCAGTGCAAATTTATACGAGTTGTGGTGATAGCATTTGTGCATAACCTCAATATACTCGAATACCTTAAGTTCTCAAAAATGTACATGGGCTAATAAAGAGATAATATAAAATTCAATATATATATATGATGTATATTTTTGCTTTTATGATACGAAATGTGTTATATGAATTATATGGTGTTATGGGTGTTTTGTTATGAAATGATATATGTGTTCCATGATGTATATGGAAATGTTCAACCCATGCTTATATGATAAAAAGGAATTAGTGATAATAAAATGTTAATGATAAATGTATATGTGTGCATTGGTTATACAATGGGATATATGCTTTTATATGATATGATAGTATTTGCAGATGTATGGCTTTTGTTATTATGAAATGGTATATGATTATATTATATGTTTTATATGCCTCACTAAGTCATCGACTTAGCGTGTGATTGTTTCACATGTAGGTTTGGAAAGTGAAAAAGAGAAGTAAAGAGGAACAAGACAAGTCAGTTCTCCTTACCAAAGATCAGATCAGAAAAAAAGTTATTAGTATGTATTTTGTAATACTTAAAGTGGTTGGCATGTAAACAAAGATTTGAATCCGATATGTTTTAATCGGTTTGTAAAATCATATGATTGAATTTTATAATGTTTTAAATGTGTATAAGTAATTGATAAATTTTATACGGATGAAACCTTAAATTTTTTAATAAATTTATACGTATTTTACAGAAGTAATGTAGCAGTACTGTAGTAGAGAATCGGTACCCTGTAGGAGGGGAATGGGTTCCCCTCAAGCAATCTGGAAAATTTTTAACATTCGGCACTGTTCACGGCATTGTTCATTACCGTTCATGGTACTGTTCATACGGTATTGTTCACTCTTCGTACCGTATTTTACTGTTCATAAAACTTATATTTTCTTAAATTGGTTATAACAAACATGATTCAACAATATATTATCGTATTTTCTTAAAAAGAGTTCAAATGTTTTGATATTTTGTAAGAATATCGTTTTTAAAGGTCAATGTGACATCTTGGACTCGTATTCGGGTCGGATATGGGTTGGGGTGTTACACCAATGGCTGGCCAGCCCCTAGTGGCCTAAATCGTCGATGGCCGAAAAACCTAAAACTATCCAAAAAGATCCCCTCGTCGTCCTAAACCTAAACTCGAGCCCAAAATCCCCAAAACAAACCTCAAATAGCATAAATCTAAAAAAGCGTTTGGTTTTTTACTTTGGTTCGGCTGTGACTTTTTGCTTTTTCCAGTGACCTTTGGCCCCCTTCGACCATGCTTTACTTTACCGAGGCTTAATACTTGGGTTTTTATGATTTTTTTTCTTTTCTTTTTGGGACGTTTTTTGTTCTCCTTTTTTTCTATATTCTTGCTCTTGAGTTTGGTATTTTTACTTGGTTGGTGTACTTTGTTTGCTTCGTATTTTTCTCCGGTGATGCCTTTTTCTTTTGTTCTTGTGTTGCTCCACCGGTGGCCTTTATAGTCCTCCGGTAGTGAGTCGTTTACTGTGATCCCGATTTAATCAAGATGTTGAGTGTGGCCGATCTTTCGGCACGTCGTTGTTGTTCGGATTTTTCTCTGATTTCACTATTTTTGCAGTTCTAGAGGCCGAGAATTCCAGCTGGCTCTCGAACCTGTTGGGTGAGTGGTCTCCACACGCGCTCCCGTGCGGTGCCCTTCCTTAGTACAAAACCCTAGTTTGATTTTTTTGGGTTGGGTCAGGCCCCCTAACCGAATTTACTAGGTCAGGCTACCCCGTTGGGCTCCGTTTCTGGACCAGCTAGATTGGACTTGGACTTCAATTATTGGACTGGATTGAACTTGAAATAATAAAAATAAAATGAAATAAATAAATAAATAAATAATATAAACAATAATATATACTAAATATAATAAAAACTATATAATATTATATTATATGTTTTAAAAAATCGTTTAAAAAAAATATATTATACGTTTTCAAATCATTTAAAAAAACCATATACTATATGTTTTCAAAACCGTATTTAAAAACTATATATTATACGTTTTCAAAACCATTTCAAAAAAATATATTTTATATGTTTTCAAAAACTATATATTATACGTTTTCAAAAACTATATATTATATATTTTTAAAAATTATATTTGAAATTATTATATATATTACGCTATTCAATATAATAAAGACCCTGGACGGAAATAAGTGTCTACAAGGTTGTTTTGATGTTTGGAAGGTTTCATTCTCTTCGTATCTTTGGGTTTAATATTTTTATTTTATATATGAGTTTTTGGTTCCATAGTCTCCAATTTTCTCTTTAGATGCGTTGTAATTTTGATTCCTCCATTTTATTAATAAAATTCAGTTGCCATTGTTCAAAAAAAAAAAGAAAGAACAAATGTGTGTTCAATTCGTTTATATTCCCGAACAAGCTCGTTTATCAACTTGTTTACCCAACTTTCATTTTCTTTTTTGTTTTTATATTTTAAATATTGGTAAATGTCAAGGTAGAGACTAAATTGAACACAATAAACTTTAAAGTTCAAACTGTGAAACTTAAAGACTAGTGGTATAACTTTGTTATTTAGTTTGTTTTGTTTTTATTTAATTTTGTTTCTTTGTTTGCTTAGTTGACATTTATGAGCATATAAACAAATTTGTTCGCGAACATTAAAAAAATACGTTGGAGAATATACAAGTGAGTATGTTTGCGAACACTAAACGGACTGAACACGAACATCTTCAAAAATAAATAATCGAACACAATATTAAATATTTAAACTAACATAAATTGAACATAAACATCTTTAAAAATAAATAAACGAATACTAACAATCTTTATTTGTTTATGCTCAGTTCATTTGTACTCTTACATAATCAATATGATCCTTTTTCTAAGAAATATAATAAACTAATTGTTATAATTTGATAGGATTTAATATAATTTTCTTAAATAGATAATTTATGATAGAAGAATTTTTATTTTAATTGTTGATATGAATCGATAAGTATAGTTGATAGTAAAGAGACTCTTTACCTTTGATGCCTCTTAATGTATAAACCTTTTGACACCTGAGAGAACGTTGATAAATTTTTCTAATGTATTAAAAATTTAATTGTTGCCTTTTACTTAATTGCCCTCTTTAATTGTCACGTGTCACTAGGGATGGGTATGGGTTGGATTTCAGCCAATATTTGACTCGAAAATTTTACATACTTAACCCGACCTGACCTAAAAAATATACATCCTCCACTCGAACCCGATCTCGATCCGACCTGAAATAATAAAAAATATTATTTTTATTCAAGAAAAACAATGATTTAATTAAAAAATAATATATAGAGGGGTATTGTTGTAATTGTTCCTAAATATATAAGGTAAAATTATATTTTTTAGGTCCGGTCGGATATTTTCACCCAAACCCAAATCCGACCCGACAACACCTTTAAAAAACCCAACCCAAACCCGAAATATTTAAAAAAAAATTCGACTCGATCGAGTCGGGTCGAAACCCGTTGGATTCGGGTCCCATGCTCATCCCTACGTGTCACATATCCAATCATGATTGGATACTCATTAAGGGGTACATGTCACACGTCTAACTTTGATTGAATAATATTTTTTAAATATATAATTGTAAAAATTATAGTTTTGAAAATTTTAATAAAATTTAAAATATTATGTGTTTTTTATATTTTCCTTTTTAATTAGATGGATTAATAATAACATTAGTGTTTTAAAAGTCAATTATTTTTTTATTAAGATAAGATTATTATTAATTAGTAAATGTTCTAAATATTCTTAACTATTTACTAATAAAAGCTCAATCACACTGCTCCAGTAGTTAGTACTCAAAGCCATGACATCTAGGAACAACAATTCTTTTAAACATTGAGGTAAGAGATATTTAGGAACAATAATTTCTTTAACCACTAAAATAAGATGTTTCGTGCTTAAAAGTTAATCAATAATAGTATGATATGTTATAATAATGATTTTTATATCATTTTAATAAATTTATTGTATAGTTTGTAATTATTTAATAAATTTAATAATTATTTAATATTTTTTAAAATATTTAAATAAATATTAAATTTGAGAGTTTGTTTTAAAAAAAAAAAGAGAAATTGTGTTAGTTTCATTTTTTTTTTTGGTTCTTCTTAAGGTGTTATTTAGAGGGGAAAAAAACCTAGCACTTTCCTGCTATCATATAAAACATTGCAAATACTGGAAGTAGTGTTAGATCAGTAAATCTCCAACTAAACTCTTGGAATTTTCTCTCTACCAATCAACAGCTATGGCTTCTTCTCTAGCTCTCAAGAGGCTCGTCTCATCGAACATCCTCCCAAGCTCCTTGCGCGTGCTCCGCCCAATCGTCACCGCTCCGTCCGCTTCCAGAGTCTCCAACACCAACGCCGCGCGTGAAGGTGACGCGTTCATTTTTCCAAAGATCTGTTTTTCATTTCGATTTTTCCTTCTGCTTGTATAAATTTGATGATGATTTTGCCCCTTCCTATTTCGTGTTGCAGATGTGTTTGATCCTCTCTCTCCAACAAGGAGCCCGAACCAAGCCGTGAACATTAGGGATCAATTCATGCAGAACCAGTTCCTCTCCGCTTCCCGTGGCATGGCAACGCTTGCGAAAGGCGAGGGGGAAGCCAGCGAGCCTAAAAATATCCTTCGCCCCCTATCTCCTCATCTTCCTGTTTACAAGCCACAGCTTAATGCGACGCTTTCGATTACCAATAGAATCTCCGGGGCTTTCCTAACCACCGTGCTTCTGTTTTCTTATCTTCTTTCTCTGAAAATGGGTTCGGTTTGCTTAACCTATTCGAGTTTCTACCAGTTCTTCTTTTATTCAGCAAAGCTTTTCCTAGTGTCCGCCTCAGTCTCTGCCTTAGCCCTGTCCTACCACACGTATTATGGGATACGTCATTTATTGATGGATCTACTCAAAGTGGGCGTTCCCAAGGTCAAGTGAGGAGGAGTGGAATGATTTGATGCAGCTTCAACTCGACCGTTCTGCTGAACGAGGTGGTTTTTCTTTGATTTGGGCCTTTCTGGCTTGGGATACCGACTTTGTGTGGGGGAAAATAACGGCTGAGAGGATAGCATGAAAAACTGTTGCTGCTCTTTTTTCTTTGGTTGAATAAATGAATGTTTGTTAATATGTTGAACCTTCAAAACCCTGTTGAAGCTAAAAACTTCTTTGAACTTGTTAATATAGGGATCTGTGTTGAATTAGTGATCTCAAGTGAACAAGGTTTAGCATTCTGTTTATCTTTTGAAAGTTTTGTGGTTTTCTCTTTATCGTATTTCCTTCTGTTAACTCTGTTTTTGTTGCAGACAGACATGGTTTATCAGTTGCTACGCAGAGCAATCGAGTACGTATCGAATCTATATCTTCATAGACTATACAGCTTTTATCTATTTATTTCACTGTAGATATTTTCTCATCGTATCGAAATCGGTCCTAAATAAAAGGACGTCTGATCGCTATCAGTTAGGCAGTTAGCATTTTCTAGCTTCGACTAGTAATTAGTTGTTCTAGTCATAACTCATGTGATCAGTTGGATTGTTTGATACATGGAGGACTGTATTAAGCTTTGATTCAAAATAGGACATCGTGGTTTTCCAGATTGAGAAGTGTCACCTCAGTTATTTTTTAGGTTACAAGATTTATTTCCCTAATCACTTGACACTCTGGATAATGGTAGAAGGGAATGCACTATGTTTGATTGAATAGTGCTTTGGATTTAAATTTTGGAGTCGAATAACATTTCCCGTATCTTCATTTTGATAAAATCTCTGAAGACTTCTATTCTTCATATCTTCTGAATTGTTTTCTTGATTTTCCTCCCCCCAAAAGTCTTAAGATTTCCTTCCCCATATTGTTTTTGAAATGGCTTAGAAGGGCTCTCTATTTACAATGCTCTGATTCTACCAGAACTTAACCTCTAACAACAACAACAACAACAACAACAAAACCCAATTCCCATATGTATGGGGTAAGGGGGAGGTAGGGTAGTAGGCTGCCCCCAACGCCAGGTTGAGAATAGCTTCCGTGAAAGACCTCCGGCAGTCAGAAAATTAAAAATATAGATAAAATGCAATGCATGTATAAATAATTACATAAATACATAGCTAAACAGTATTCATATGCAGTCATTAATATCATATGTGCTTCTGTAATGGGGAGTAAATCCCTGCAAAATAATCCCTGCGAAAGAGTCTCTGCATATAGACAGAAACCTAAGACCCGGCTAAAATTAACATAGGAAACATGATGAGAATGATACACATGAGACAACGATGGCAAGCCCAGTTCTAATATTTCATAAATACCAATAACAGAAAAGTATAAAAAGTAAAAGTCAAGGAAATAACTACAAATGTATTTAAAAGAAGACAAAGATGATACACCCTATAGATGTGACCCACACTACTCGACTACCCTAGTCTTAAGCCTCCATAATTTCCTATCATAGGTCATGTCTTCGGTAAGGCCTAAATCCCTCAAATCAGATCTCAAGCAGTCATCCCACTTCCGCCTTGGTCGTCCTTTCCTTCTGGCACCGTCGACTGTAATCGACTCTACCCTCCTGACCGCATCCGACGGTAGTCGCCTAAGGACGTGTCCAAACCACCGTAGTCTTCCCTCCCTCATTTTTTCGGAAACAGACATCACCCCTAAGGACATCCTAATAGCAGAGTTTGTCGTCATATCCCACAGAGTCCTACCACATGTCCATCGAAGCATTCTCATTTCTGCGGCCTCTATCCTCCTAACGTGATCCTTCTTGGGTGCCCAACATTCTGATCCATACAACAGCGCTGGTCTAATTGCCATTCTATAAAATTTTCCCTTAAGTTTTAGAGGCACCTTCTTGTCACACAAAACTCCAGTAGCAGCCCTCCACTTTAGCCATCCCGCCTTTATACGGTGTGTAACGTCATCATCTACACCCCATCTTTATGTATCATAGACCCTAAGTACTTGAAACAATCCTTTGAGGGAAGAACGTGTCTTTCGATGCATACTTCTACATTTTCATCATTTTGGTTCCCACTGAAGTTTGAACATAAATACTCTGTCTTTTCAATATTGATCCTTAAACCTTTTTCTTCCAAAGCAGTCTTCCAGGTAGCCAGTCTGCTATTCAACTCAGATTTTGTTTCAGCCACTAAGACAATGTCGTCAGCGAAAAGCATACACCAAGGTACACCGTCTGGTGTCGCACAATAGATGTCGTCCATAATCAAGGCGAAGATGTAAGGGCTAAGAGCCGACCCCTGGTGGAGTCCGATTTCCACCGGGAATGCCTCGGTGTCGCCAACTGTAGTCCTGACGTAAGTAGTAGATCTACAGTACATATCACGAATCGTCCGGATATAAGCAGTTGGTATCCGTCTCGTTTCCAAAGTCTTCCATATCGTATCGCGAGGAACGCTATCATAGGCCTTCTCAAGGTCAATGAACGCCATGTGGAGATCTCTAGACTTTTCCCTATATTTCTCCATAAGCCGTCGAAGTAGATGAATCGCCTCCGTGGTAGATCTGTTTGGCATAAAGCCAAATTGGTTTTCCGAAACCCTAGTGACTTGTCTCAACCTAGCCTCTATCACCCTTTCCCATAGCTTCATGGTATGGCTGAGTAGTTTAATACCTCTGTAGTTACCACAACGTTGGGGATCTCCTTTATTTTTATAAATTGGTATCACCGTAGACTCTCTCCACTCCTCTGGCATCTTGGCAGTCTCTAAAATAATATTAAAGATGTTGGTCAACCACTTAACTCCCTCCTCACCTAAGGCTAACCACACAGTGATAGGAATTTGATCAGGACCGACAGCTTTCTCCCTTCCCATCTTTTTAAGAGCCATTTTGACTTCCTCAAACCCAATCCTACTTGTAGGGCAGTCATTGGCCGTAGTATGATGGTCGGCTGACCCAACAACGATATTATCTCTACATGGAGAGGCACCGTCATTAAATAAGCCAAAGAAGTAACTACCCCAAACCTCTTAATATCTGTTCTTTCGTTAAAAGAACACCATTGTTGTCCTTAATAAACCTAATGTTACTTAGATCTTTTTCCTAGTCTCCCTAGATTTTGCAAGTCTGAATATGCCATTTTGTCCTTCCTTAGTGTCTAATCTCTTGTACATTTCCTCATATGCCTTATCCTTTGCTTTAGCTACCGTTTTCTTGGCTTCCCGCTTTGCCTCCTGGTATCATTGTTTAGCTCCCGACCTTTCTTCGTCGTCATTGCATTGAAGAAACTCCTTGAAGCAAGTTTGTTTTGTCTTCACCTTAGTTTGGACTTCGTCGTTCCACCACCACGATTCTTTATGTTCCTTGGCCTTCCCCGTCGACAACCCAAGGGTTTTTTGCCCACCTCTCTGATGGAATTTGCCATATTTTTCCATAACATATCTGCGTTATTTGAGTTTGTAGTTTCAAAACCTGTATTAGATAAAAGCTTACTCCTAAAGTCATCAGTTGTCGCTCCATGTAAGTTCTTCCAGAGGATCCTAGGTTTACCCAGTTTAGCCCTCCTATGCGTGCTCCGCCGTTGGGTACGCGGAACACCAAAACCAACAATTTGTGTTGTGAAGTACATGCCTCTTCAGGGAACACCTTACAGTCAATGCAAGCCCATCGTTCCCGATTTCTAACCAAGATGTAGTCGATTTGGGTACAATGTCCCCCACTGTGAAACGTAATCAAGTTCGCATCTCTTTATTAAATAAGGAGTTAGTGATCACTAAGTCGTGAGCAGTAGCAAAATCAAGCAACGTACGCCCTCATCATTCCTGTTACCATAACCGAAACCTCCATGAACACCGTCATACCCGTCGATTGCACTACCTATATGGCCATTGAAGTCTCCCCTATGAAAACTCTTTGGTCCTCCGGGATGCTCCTAAGTACAATATCTAACTGATCCCAGAAGCAACGTTTCTCCCCCTCCCCTAGGCCAACGTGTGGAGCGTACACTGAAAGGACATTAACCACTTCCGCTTCTATAATAACCTTAATCATCATGATCCTATCCCGGTATCTACAAACTTCAACAACATTTTCCTTGAGACTAGAGGATACCAAGATACCCACCCCATTTCTAGCGTTATCTACTCCTGAATACCACAACTTGTACCCATTACACTCTCTGGCGCGAGCCCCTTTCCACCTAGTCTCCTGAATACATGCAAAATCTATTTTCCTATTACTAAGTACGTCGGTCAGCTCCAGCAGCCTAGCATTTAATGTGCCTACATTTAACGAACAAACTCTAAGTCTAGTCTCCTTGACACCACTCCGTTGAGCCCTCCCCCTATACGCCCTATGGGATCTAAAGAATGACATGACCTCACGTAATCATCTATAATCGAAGCTATGTGGGACTATGAAAAAGAATATCCAAAGAAGAAACCTTTCTGAAAATCCTCAGGCCCGAAAAAGCAACACCCAAAAAGCAAAAACAGTTTATAAATATTTATAACAGATATACTCAATTTGAAATATAAATAATGATATAAGATACTAGAGGTATAGGACAATGAAAAAAAAAATGATCTAGTAACTCCTACCCAGAGCAATATAGCAAAATATAGATCCAGTAGTGCCTTATAATGATTTTTAATTTAATATCAAGTAATATAAATATGATTAAAATAGTGTAGTAAGTGATAATTCCAAAAATAAAAATATTAAACAATCACATAGATACACCTACTATTAATACAGAATCAAAACTAGTCGTAAAAGTAGCATAATACGTTTAAATATCTGGCCAACTACTATATGTACCTGACCGGCAAGTAAGAAGTAGTTGTTATTTTTTGGCGGGATTATTTTCCGACGAAGATTCTGCTGTGGAACTTTAATGGGGTAGCCGGAGTCACCTGTAGAGATCACCGGTGGAATATGGTTGCGGTAACGTTCACCTGTAAAAAGCAAAAGTAACTCCAACGAATATCGGGAGAGAGAGAAGGTTCCACACTTTCCTTTCTGGATCTCCAGCTTCCGAGAAACGAAAATCAGGTGAGTGAAAGAGTAGATCTGAAGATTTGAGGAGCTAAAAGCAAAGGAAGAGAGCAAAAGGATAAGCGTAGGTGGGTAGCGAAAGTAGATCCCAGTCCCGGCCTAGAAGTTCCTCCTTTTATGCGATATTTGTCTGCGTTTGTGGAAGCAAGCAGAACCCAGATAAAAAAAAAAAAATATGAAAGGATTTCGTTTGGACTGGCGGAAATGGAGCTTTTAGTGAGGTGAAAGCTGCCACTTTGGTCGTAGATCTAAGCTTTTAAGGGATTTTTTTGAAACCCGATCTGATAGCGTGAAAAGAGAAGGGCAATGAGAGTTTGAAGATGATATGTTTGTAGTGAAAATTGGATACCGGCGGCCGGCGACAGTAGACTACTGGGGCTTTATGGAGGAGGTCAGGAGACAGCACAAGGACTACTGTTGGATTCAAAGTATTGAGTTTCTCGAACTTAACCTCTAAATTAGTTTAATTTAATTGGAGATACAACATTATGGCTCATAGTCTTTGAAATTCAATTCGTCAATCGTGGTGAATTCTCGAGCTTAGGTGGTTCATTTAGTTAATTGTGGAGATCAGGAAAGAAGATTCCATTTGCTTTGCAGGCCATACTAAATGTCATTAGTTGAACCTGCTGCATCGTTTTTCTTTTTTTGAAAGATGTAATCAAGTTTGTATATAGTTATCTTTATAGAATGAAAGTGGTTTTCTTATTTTTGGACTGTGATTCTCCTTCTCCCTCGTAGTATCTTACATGCTGCTCTCATTACATATTTGGTTCAATCCAAAGAGTTCAACTCTGTTTGCAGTTTAATTCTTGCTTGCCTGGTTGCCACCCCAGACCAAACCCTTTTTCACAACCGTATACATTCCTCTCCCAAAGTCGACGATATAGCAACGTAAACATAGAATCCGAAATGTGAGCATGTTTAGGAAACCATCAGCAGAGAGTATGTCTTCAACGAAAGGGTTGAAGTTCAGTGACAATGTAATCGAGACTCCGCAATGAGTTGACATTTCTCTCTCTCTCTCTCTCTCTCTCTCTCTCTCTGGTACAACTCACACACTCCAATAGGAACAAACAAAGATTTGTGCAATGTGGTCCGGATCAGGCAACTGCTTAATGTAGTAATGGATGCGATCAAAACAACTCAAGTTTTTGGGATTGACAGCCAGCCCAGCTTCAGTAACTGCTTAAAGTACTAATATATCTCTTCTTCCCACTCAATTCAACCTTCAAAAACTATTCTTCCAAGTCCATCTTTTACTTCCTATCATCAAAAGTAAAAGATTATTCTAGACCGTTTTATCAATTATCAAGTTTCAAACATTACTTATCAAATTGTCTCTACTGTTGGTAATAGCATCTCGCCACTTGTAGATGGCGAGTAGAGATGCACAGAAGCCGGATTTCGATCCGGATCGGATAAAAACCGATCCGGTTTTTTCTCCCAACCCAAAAACCGGATTTTAAAAAAACCGGTTCGGATCTTAACCGGTTTAGAGGGTCGGATGGTGTAACCGGTGTAATCGGTTTCGGTTTGTAAAAAACCGATTTTTAAAAAAAAACCGGATTTTTTCGGATAAAAAACCGGTTTTTTATCCGGTTTGAAAAAAACCAGTTTTTAATCCGGTAAAAAAACCGGTCGTTCAATTTTTCTCAAACCGGTTATACTATCCGGTTTTTAAATATCCGATCCGGTTTAAAAAAAACCGGTTTTTCCAAAATCCGGTTTCGGATATTTTTTTACCTAAAATCGGATATTCGGATTTTTTGTGTACCTCTAATGGCGAGGTTAATATATTAGGAAGTTCGATATATATATTTTTAATTTTTGGATCTTTCGAACTTGTTTAACTGACAAAATTTGATTGAACTTGTTACTTGCATATGTTGAGACCGATATTCCTTAAATTTTAGACTTGTATGTTGAGTTTTACTTGCTCTCGTTAGGACATTCACAAACACATTCTACTTCGTCAGATTTATCTATTATGAACCTCTCAATTAACTTAAAGAATCAAAACATAATAATTCAATCTAGGTTAAAAGTTTTAATTTTTTTTATTAAACAAACGTAATAATTCACAAATAATATATTAAAACAGTAAGTGAAATTAGTTGAATTTGTGAATGTAGATTCCAAAGTTTTATTTGTAAGAGAACCAGGCAGAATTATATTAGTAAATAATCCTAAATAAATATATATATATATATATATATATATATATATATATATATATATATATATATATATATATATTAAAATTAATTTTTATTCATCAATTGTAATTCAGATTTAAGGTGGTTTTATTTGATTCAAAATCTGATCTAAATTTTTAGATCAGAACTCGCATTTGATTTGATTTATATATATATATATATATATATATATATATTATTTTTATAAGGTAAAATAATGATTTATTTGAAAAATAGAAATTATATTATTTCAATTATTCCTAAATATATAATAGATAATTTAAATAATCAGATTCATGTCAAATTTGTTAGGTCAAATTTCTGGTAAAATTGAGATACCTAAAATTGAGGTATTAGCAATAGGGATGTGCATGAATCGAGTTGAGTCGGGTTTTTGGTCAACTCGACCCGATGCGAAAATTATACACTCCACTCGGCCCGAATCCAACCAAAAATTATACACCATCCACCGACTTGATCTCGACCCACCCTTTTGAGATCAAATCAGAACCCGACCCGATCTGAAATAATATATTTATAAAAAATATTATTTTATTAAATAAAAATAAGGAGTTAATTGAAAAAAATAATATATAGATGAGTCTTATTGTAATTATCCCTAAATATTTTAAGGAAAATTACATTTTTTTCGGTGGGTCGGATATTTTTCATCCTAAACTCAAACCCAACCCAAACATAATCTCTGAAAAACCCGACCCGATCCAAACTCGAACCCAATTTTTTTTAAAAAATCCGACCCAAAAAACGAATCGAATCGAAACCCATCGAATTCAAACCCTTTAACCTTCTCTAATTACATACCTTTAAGACACTAGTTAATTATGTTGACATTTTAGAACATATAAGAGTTGAAGGAAATGACTCTTAGCTCAGATCAACAGATGTAAATCATCTATCATGGTTGCAACCTCATATTTGTAGTAGGGTTTTAACTACTCAAAAGATATTTAAAAAATCATTTTATATATTTTTTTCAATTAAAACGGGACAAGAGGTATATCTTAAACAGTAAATAAGATTCATCCATCGTATCCCCATGTTTATGGATCCACCATTTGACAAGGCAACGCAAAGGACGATCATTCTTCCCAGAAATTCCCTCTTCTTTCATGGCATCATGTTTAATATGATTTTTATCATGTATCATTCTTTGTCCAACTCAAAAAACATTAATTGTTACAAACCATTGACTCTCATATTATCCATCAACCATACACAATACATTAAACATAAAATCGAAGTAAATAATAAGAAAAACTACTTGAATGAAACGGAGATGTCGTTGTCGACCTCCAACTACATCTTCACAAATACTCAAATGTATACGTAAATAGATGACCGAAAACAAAATATTTGCATTTTTAAACGTTAGTACTCTCCTAACCAATAACCGTTTTGATTAGAAACTTTATACTTTTGTCTCAACTCGACCTTGCCTTTTCATCCTACGTACATATATAAACCCAGCAACAAATATCTTCAACGTCATTCCCAATCCCCATCTTCTCTCTGTTTTGAGTTGCATTTGCCTATCTCTTTACCATGGTGATGGGGACTCACCGTCGCTTCGAACCGATTTCAAAATGTAGAATCGAGGGAAGATCGAACGAGAAGGTGGGCGCGGACTTTAACGGAACACTTCTCGTGTCACCAAACCCTTTACTGTATTTCATGCTTATTGCTCTCGAAGCTGGCGGTCTTACAAGAGCACATGTTCTCCTAGCATCCCTTCAGTTTGTGTATTTGCCGAACTTGTTCATATCTGAATCCGCAGCCAATAAAGCCTTCCTTTTCATCTGCTTTGCTGGGTTAAAAATCGGAAACATCGAGCTCGTTTCGAGTTGCCGCAGTTCTATTCCGAGGATGTTCATCCCGAGACCTGGAGAGTATTTAGCTCATTTGGCAAAAGATACGTTGTTACTGCAAATCCTAGAATCATGGTGGAATCATTTGCTAAAGCGGTTTTGGGAGCCGATAAGGTTATTGGAACAGAGTTGCATGTAACAAAATCAGGCAGGGCAACTGGGTTTACCATGAAACCGGGGATTCTGGCCGGAGAACACAAAAGGGATGCCACAAGTTTGCCAGATTTCGGACTGGGAGACAGAGAAACTGACCATGATTTCATGTCATTATGCAAGGTTAATGAAACCCTCATCCTTTATCTTTTATGCGAGTCCATGGATGGATAGAGGAGAGTGGACGGAACGGCCATATTCCAAAAAAAAATTAAATTATCATATATATATTTTTTAATATTTTATTTATACTTTTTATTTATAATTATTTTTCACGTACTAAAATTTAATAAGTTTATTGCCTTTAATATAAAAATCTCCGTTTGTGTCATGTACGTAACTATATATACACATTGATTTTGGTTGGTATGTGTAGGAAGGATACGTGGTGCCAAGAATGCAATGCAAAGGTGGAAAATCAGCCATTGAAGTTGTGAACAGCGTACGGACGGTGGTGTATGGGACATTGGGGTTCATTAGGAAGGGAAAGCAGGCTATGAATGCCAGAACCCATGGTCGTGTTTCTCTCGAACAAAAATTGGACACATTGGTTACTTCAATCAGCAAATTAATGATCGGTTCACAATTTCCTCTGGACGAAATCATGACTGACACCAAGATATCATCACTACAATCACATATACTATATAATTTGTCGTCATTTGTCAGCTTCTATAGATACAATTTAATTATTATTCATTTGTCGTCTTATTAACTTTTTGGGTAAAGTACATAATTGGTCCCTCAATTATAGGATGTCACTTTATTAAGTCTCTCAACTAATAAAAAGTACAAAATGGTCATCCGACTATAGGGAGTCGCTTTGTTGAGTCCCTTAACTATTAAAAGTTACGCAATGGCCACCCGACTATTTATTATGTTCCAAACTCGTCTTTTTCTTGAGGACGGTCTGAACTGTACGTTAACTTGCTGACTGAGATATGATAAAAATATGATCTCATAATCTTAAACAACTATCATATCCCAGTCAACATGTTAACGTCCAACTCAGACGACCGTTAATTTTTTAAACGAAAAACAATGAGTTTGGAACATAATGAATAGTTGAGTGACTATTTTATAACTTTTAATAGTCGAGAGACTCAACAAAGCAACTCCCTATAGTCGAGAAATCATTGATTAACTTTTAATAGTCAAGAGACTCAATAAAGCAATATCATAATTTGGGACCATTTGTGTTATTTACCGTTAACTTTTCCCATTAAATATGGAATGTGGTTAAATGTGCATTATGTGTTGAATAAGTAATTAGGACTTCACATCACAGCCATAAGCAAGTAATTCATGTAATGTAAGCCAGATCAGGATAATCTCTCGTAGAATGCATTTGGTGTTATAGGCAATCGTATGACATTGTTTTGGTTTTGTTTATTGTGTTAATTACATATATTTTTGTCACTTTAGACTACAATGAATTGATAGATTTTTTTTCTTTCTAACTCCAACATATTATAATACAATCATTAACGTTTTTCATGAGAAAAGCTATACTATTATTATTTCATGAAAAAAGATGAGCTAGAGATTTTTTTTAATCATTTTTTTTGTTTGATCCCATTATAGTATCTATCATGTTCTTTATTTGGATAAACTCATACGCCCTACAAACAGAACAATGCTGCTCGAACCGAGCAGTTACATAAGGACATACCACCCATTGCCACACTTTGGATTCGCTAAAAATGTGTTTCCAATAAAAAAAAAGTTTCAGCCTAGAAAATTTTCTTTTGATGGAGCCCCAACCTGGTAATTTCAGTGTTACAGCATCAGGTGAGAGTTCCTTCAATTAGTTGTTGGAAACCTTCGGGGCTTGTCGGGCAAAAAATGGGGCAAGCTAATTTTTATTATAACCTTGTGATAACATAACCATCTTATGCTACCGGCAACTAATTGGTCAAAACAGAGGATAGGAAACACCCAATGCGTTTGATGGTAAAACAGTCATAATTATTCCAGGTCCTCCTGCTAAATGGTATACATCCTTATGCATCAAATAAAAATCATGTAAGATTATTCATCAGAAATCTAAAGCTAATAAAGAACCAGACAATGTATAAATACCAGAAGCTGCATTCACTCAGCAAAATTCATCTCTAGCTTAGGTTCCACGTACTTGGTTTCCTTTTGCAAACTTCCATTACCTCCGGCCGACGATTTAATTGCTTCAGAAATTTCTTAATTCAACTCTTCATGCTTCTCCTTTAGTTCCGAGGAGCTGATAGCTTCCGAAAGTCTTTGCTTAATCTGCTGTTCTAGTGTCTCGATCTTACTTTTTGACCGAACATCCTCTGCCTTTGCCATCTCCAGCTTCAATATCTCTATCATATTTTTCAATTCCGACGACTTGACAACATTTTCGATTTTCTTGTTGATTTCTTCATTCAAATTATCCACCTTGTCTTTGAAGATTGAAAGAGAAGTTGACTTTGCATTAGATTTTACGGCCTCAACATTCAGACTCGAGAGCATTAATCATTTCCAATTCTTTCTCTTTCTTCAATTTCAGAATTTGTCTTTCAGCCCTTGATCTAAATCAACAAATCTGGATGAACCAGACTTTTGAACCTCACCCTCTAATGCTTCAAGCTTCTCATTTATCTCGGGCCGGCCCTTGATTTAATTGAATTTCTTATTAACTTCCTGCTTCATTGTAACAGCCTTCGACTGACTCTTGGCTGTAGAGAGCTCCTTCAACATGCCAAGCTTATGTTTTAAGATCGTGTAATTTGGAGCCGCAGATATAGCTTCTGGTTGAGCTCATGTTTAAGCTTCTCAATCTTATCCATTAGAACAGGATTCATGAGTTGGTCCCTCGAATTTGCTTTTGAAACTTCTCCTCTTAGCATCTCAAGCCTGTCCTTCATGCCCGTTTGTTTAATGGCCTCAGAGTATTCGTGATAGACCTCCTTTTTCAAATTTTCAACAACGTTCTTCAGAGCGAACTCAGGAGGATTGCTGGATTACTCCTTGGATTTCAATATTTGTTGTTTTACTTTTTCGATCTCACCCTCCAACTATGCATTTGAGGTTCTAAGTACCGTTTGTTCATTCTTTTTCATATGGACCTTCTTCTTGGGATCTATTGGGAAACCCTCTTGGAACCCACCCAATTTCCTAAACTTATGATTGTGATACTTCAGTAGCTCTTCGGTGTCCATTGCCAAGAGCTCCTGCAGAAAAACTTTTGTTAATATGTTACAAAATTATTCTTGATGAAGAATACTACTGCTAGTGGAACTCGCATCCATATTTTCATTGATTGCAGCTTTTATTTGTTGTTAAGTCCAAGCAGGACCTGATATTGGGAAATAAAACGAGAAATTTCCCTATAACCAGATTAGTGAGAATGCGAAATAAAAGAGGAATAATAATACCCGAAATTGATAACGGATTTCGGCCAATTATGCCTACGTCTTCAGACTGCTGCAGATCTTTTACTAAAGAGAGAAAATTTACAGGTGTTTACAAAAAATACTCACAACTAACAAGAAAACTCTCTAGTATTGGGAGAAAGAAATGATTTTGGATGATCTTGAAGCTAAATGAGTTAGGGTATTTATAATTGAAGCTTAAGGACTAATTTTGTAAATACCCTAAAGTGCATAGACTAAATTTACAATTTTCCCATGCCATTATTTCAACAAAAATCAACTGCCAAAATTTTTGAATCCATGCATCAATTTTAACTGACTTTTTAACAATCTCTCACTTGAAGATTGATTTTAATATGTCTTCACACCTCGATCAATGCAACAACATTTCTAGTCTTGTTATTCTAGCATGCCAACTGAAGCTGAACACAACTTCAGTTTGTTCGTAGTCACTGTCTTTGTCAACATATGCCAAATTTTGAGCTCCACTAATGTTTTCAAGTTTTAAAATCCTATCTTCAAGAAGAGACCGGATAAAATGATATCCCAATTGTATGTGTTTCGTCCTGGAATGAAAAGACAGATTCTTTGCTAGATGGATAGTACTTTAACTATCGCAATACAATACATTGTTTTCTTGTTTCTTGCCTAACTCTTCCAAGAAAATTTGGAGTCAAACCATCTCGTTGTTGGCTTCCGCAACAATGACATATTCTGCTTCAGTTGTGGAGAGAGCAACTATCTTCTATAGTTGAGAAACTCAACTCACTGCAGTACATCCTAGAGTATAGACATACCCTGTAGTGCTCCTTCTTATGTCAATATTTCCGGCTAAGTTAGCATCTACATAGTCTGTCAGTATCGTATCTCCACCTTTGAAACAAAGTGCTTTGTTTGTGGTACCCTGTAGATATATGAGGATCTATTTGACTGCTTCCCAGTGCCCGGATTATTCATGTACTTGCTAACAACTCCCACTACTTGAGCAATATTTGGTCTAGTACAAACCATGACATACATCAGACTTCCAATTGCTGAGGCATACGACACCTTTCCCATGTGTACACATTCTTCCTCTGTCTTTGGTGACTGTTCTTAGAAGAGTCTAAAATGAACACCTAAAGGTGTAAGTACTAGTTTAGCATCTTGTATGTTAAACCTGGAGAGTACTTTGTTGATGTACTCAGCCTGTGATAATATCAAAGTCCCCGACTTTGTGTCTTTCTTAATCCTCATCCCAATAATCTGCTTTGCAGCGCCCAGATCTTTCATTGCAAACTGCTTTGACAATTTTTGCTTCAAGTTTATAATCTCTTCCATGTTTGAGCCTGCAACGAGCATGTCATCAACGTACAACAATAAAATAATGAAGTTGTTGTCGAACTTCTTGATATAGTAACAATGATCTGGTTGGCATATGGTAAAACCACTGCTACTCATGAAGCTATCAAACTTCTTGTACCACTGTCTAGGAGCTTGTTTTAAACCATACAAGCTCTTCTTCAACCTGCATACCAGGTTTTTCTTGTCTGCCTCTATGAAGCCTTCTGGATGCCTCATATAGATTTCTTCCTCCAAATCACCATGAAGGAAAGCTGTCTTTACATCTAACTGCTTAAGATGTAGATTCTCTGCAACTACAATTTTCAACACCAGTCTGATTGTAGACAGCTTCACGACTGGAGAGAAAATTTCATTGTAGTCAATACCTTCTTTTAGCTGAAAACCTTTGACAACCAATCTTGCTTTATAGCATTTTCTCCCATCGCGCTCTTCTTTGAT